TGGAATGTTCAACCGTGGGCTTGCTTATCAAGTGAAAATATTCCATTTGGTTCCTTTAGATATGAACATTTTTACCATTCATTATGCTTTCAGACTTTTGAAAGTGAGCAAAATAATGATGTTACCATGGTAAACCCTTCTACCAGTTTGAATATTGGAAAAACATTTGTGTAATTAATTCAGGGCAAAAGCTTGTCCTCCCACGGGTTAGTTAAGCAATGAAAAGGTCAATGTACATGGAAGATTCCTATGGGTTCCTATGGGAAGGGATCCTGTGGGTGGAGACTTCAACGCTTGCACAAGAACGAACCTTCGAAATTCAAATATTGTAATGTGATATTAAATCACCCCAATGAAGTTTTCCTCTGGCTTCTCGAGAAAAGAGGGTTGTTTTCCCCAAAGTTTCCCTTATAAAACACTAAAACATACAAGTAACCTCTGCGCTTAATAATACCTCTGTACTCGTACATTTTTATATAGTTCTATATCGCACAACGACCGTTCCAACAAAATCGTCACTTTTTCGTGGCCGGTAAAGGAAAATTAAATTTCCCTTAAAATTGGAAGGAAGATAGGTCTCTCTAGCACGGGATTGCTTGAGAATTTGATCGAGAAAAAAACGAATTTTCAGGCTGTGCTCGTTCGAACGCGACCGCGTGCGCGATGCACGCACTCGTGCGTGTGAAAACGCACTTTCCTGATGAAACACGCGGCCAGCCTGTCCCTCGGGTGCATGCACGCTTAATGATTGGCTGCGTGCCTCTGAATCGACCGGGTTCCGCTCGTTTCGATGAGTACGAGCACCGGTTCTCTGGCCAGGAACTATGGCGTCTAGGAAAAGGTAATTCCGAACTTTCGATTCGAGAAGAATTGGACACGATGAAATTTTACATGGGAAGAAAAATGAACGCCAACTCTAAACAAACCTAAAACAGCAATAGTATACTATGAAACTTGTCGTGAAGTTACGCCGGCTCTTCCATCGTACTAATTTTGCTAGCAACCGCAAGCAGCCCCTATTGATCGACCAGGTTAATCAATAGTCCATACTAATAGCCGCAAAAGCAGCTAGGTGAGTTGTGTCCACGAAATCCGCTTAAGTAAGGATCGACGAGAGGATTCGACGAAAATTCGCGACCGTGTTGTTGGCGACAATTTGCTACATACGACAAACAATAATAAAAAAAAAAAAAGAAAAGAAAACAGGCGTCGAGGACCTGTTGGCTTATTTCTACACGGGTAAGCTTGATATGTTGAAGTATAAAAATGATTCCAGTAAAAGAATTAATAATAAGTCGTGCGAAGGTCTCCCAGTCATAATCGCGCGTTTCCATGCGACTTTTCATACAAATTCTGTTATTCACACAGTATCCACCTTTCACGGCCTCTATTTATAATGGTTACGTTCTAAATTCGTGTTGCAAATCGGCCTCGAATATCACGTTTACTCGCATTTCCCAGGTATCGCTCTCCTCGCCATGGAAAACCAATCGCGTTTTCCGCAAGGATCTTTTTCTGGGTCACAGCGTCTTTCGATCGCCTCTGGTTGCAGTCCATCGAGAATCGATCGAGCTGTTACGAAATCTGGCGAGCACGTTACGTTAATGATTAATTATCCTGTCACTGCAAACCTTTGATATCTGACCATGTATATTTATTTAACACCAAGATAGAATACTCCTATGAAATTCTAAAGATGATTTCACTTCACAAAGGAATGTCTAAATATAGAAACAGAGATCCTATATAATTTTAAAGATGTTATACCTAATAAAACACCCTTGTCCAAGTGAAACGAGACTGCAACAGTTTTATCAAGAAATGCGATCGCCAGTGACCCTGCCATCGATTAAACCGCGTAATCGTATCCTGATGGACTCCAAGGACGACCTCCCTCGAGCAGGAAACAACCAATTCTTATCGTGTTCCGTACCAAGGAATCGAGAGAACGAGACTGCGACGAGCTTTATTGCTTCCAACCAAGGAGAAATCCCAGAAGGTATCACAATAAATAAGTCGCGTCTCTCGACTCGAAATACTTGAAATATTGCATGCGTTAAGGGTGTTCGGGAGCGTTGAAATAGCGCTGGTTATTATTGACAGCGAGAAAGAGAGGAGCTGCGATCGACGACAGTGACGAGCACAAACGGAGGGGAAATGCACAGACGCGCCAGAAAACGTGGAGAACGGAACGGGGAAACGCGAGACCATTAAAGTTGGAATTAAGTTCACAGGTCTGACACGTCACTCCATCTCAACCGAACGATGTTGTTCGAGTCTCCTTTGTTTGCCACGGAATTTGCTGAATTTTTGGCGAAACCGTCGCGAGACGAGAAATCTTGCACTTTCGATTGCTTCGATACGCTTTCCAACCCCTTTGTAGATTCCTAGAATTTGAGAGAGGATAAGGGTCGAGTCTGCGATGATTGGACGACTTCAGAAACTTGTATCATTCGATTATTCGATGGAAACAGTGTCGAATGATCTCCATTGTTACCCTGTGGAAGTATCAACGCCCGTGCAGAAAATTCCTCCGAACAATAATCTTCTGTACCCTGGGGATTCGATAGGTATCGCGTTCAATGGGCACGTCATCGAATCAATTTTAATTGCTGGAGTCTTAGATTTCGTCAGGAAGTTGGCACTAATTACAGGAACGTCTCTGAACTGACCGAGGAGCCGGAAGGAAAGGCTGAGATCCTGGGGTAACGCGGAGAAAAAAAAGCAGGTCTGTTCTGGAATCAATAGAGTCGCCCCATCCAACCGGGGGTCGAAATAAAACGACTCGGCGACGTCGCCGAGTGGCGGTGCCGCGTCTTCATCCCTCCTTGGGCTACCCAAGACGGAAAAGGGGTTGTGGCTGGCATCGTTTGCAACGGCTGCTTTCATTATCTCCACCAGGCGAGTTTTTCCACTCTTGGACATTGTATACGTGTTCTACATACAACGAATCGATGCTAATTCGGGTCGAATAATTCCTCAATGGTCAAGATGAAAGACTATTCTCTACATACATTCATTCCCATACATGTTCGTATCCTTTATGTCTATCGAAGAAATTTTATTAAATTAAATGATAGGTTTGACACCCCAAATAAATTTTCTAAAATAAATATGTGCATAAATAAATTTTACATGTGTGTGTGTATCTATAACGAAAAATGTATTTGATTTAGACAGACTTCTTTGATAAACACCGAGGGTACGAATATTTATAGGACTTAAATATAATTCATACATTGCATACAAGAAGTGTATACTAAGCTATCAAAACGGTAATTTGACCGGTGGTGGTAGGTTTAGTGTTAAATAGATTAAAAAATGAAATACAATGAGAAATGTAAGACTATCTAATCTTCTACAGTCTCGCGACAAAATTTTAACTCGGTAGAAATTTTTACGAGTTTCAGTCTGCGAATGTAACAGACATACGTCCACAATTTATCCTATCAATCTAATACTATCTAACCAAATCAAATTTCCTCTAAAGTATCGAAATCAATAATAGGAGTTCAACTTCCCTAGTCAGCCGAAGATACTGACTCAAAAGACCCAGGATTGTGTCAAGATCGACAGTTGGAGGATGAAGGAGAAATAGGAGAACGAAAAGCCGACAAAGCTGGGAAGGAAAGTCGGTGGTGGTCGAGTGGCGTGCTGCGAGATACTCGAGCCCACGACAAAAGGTCTGCATCGTTCGGTTTTGCCTCTTCTGTACGCGAAAACGTAACGAGCCACTTGGCCACGTTGCATATTCCAGCATGGCCTGGCCCCGTTGTTACGTGAAATATGACCGCGACGAGAGATCGCTAATTAAAAACGACTTAATTGTCAGTTTCAGTTGCTGGGCTCGTCGACGTTTTTCGGTTGGGGGGGGGGGCGGTGAATCCATTGCGAGGCATTACGAGACACTTTGCAAACCTGGAATCGTTTTGTCGTTTAAATCAGTGGCTTCCAAGCTCTTCGGGGTAGCAAGATAGGTGTCTATTCATCAAAAGCATCGGTGAGCATCGGTGAATGACATTAAGCTTCTTAACACATTCGCGACCGGCAGACATTTTACGTTTCTAATACCGAGTACTGACGAAAATAATAAAATTTTGAAGCTGGACATCGCAAATTTGTATCGTTACGATGAATATTACGAAATATGTTTTGAAATATCGATGTTGTAAATATATAGCGTGTCAAATAAAAAGATTATCATAATTTTGTCATAATCAGGAATGGAATTTGGAATAACGTGTTAATTAATCTTTTTCCAGGCGATTCGAAAAACGAGCCAGAACTTTATATCGATATAATAAACGTTCTACGATGCTAGCTGATTTCGTCCGACACTTTTTATCGAGCTGCAACAGCGTTTCATTGTTTTCCCTCCGCAGAAGGCGCGGCTACGTGAGTCAAGAGAGAAAACGACAGGAGGAATGGAATAATTTCTTCATTGTCCTCGCGAACGTTGAATTCCAGATTTATTAACCGCGTTTCTGCGATGAGTCGTTCGTGCTCAGCCGGAACAGGGAGGAATCGGTTGTAAGAATAACGATTTAATGGCGACGATTTAGATTCTAATCTAAATAGCCTGCCAAGGCTTCTCTGATCTACCATTTAAAGGGAATGATTTTTTTTTTAACACCAACTGTGGAGGGAAAAGGTCGAACAATTGTTCCAATCTCAAATTGAAAACTCGTACGAAGATTTCTGTTGTTAAAAAATATTGGATCATCGAATCTAATCAACTACTTTTGTAATTATGATAAAAGCGAACAATTGTAGCAGAGAGTTCAAGGAGGCCAAAAATAAAGAAAAACGTGAAACAATGAAAAATGTTCCAGTAGAAGGAAAACCTGATCGAGAGCTCTCGTAATACTCGAGAACAAAATTTTCGTGGGCTGAATCTCAATGATCGCGAGAGGCCTTGGCACGCGCAATACGGGACAATCGCGCAAGTAATGTTGTCTCGTGACTTAGCTTTAGTGGCATGCTGCGAGTAAATGACTCACCTCACGGAGCTCCTTGATCTTTAGGCCTCCTTTGCCGATGATGCATCCAGCTTGGCTCTGGTGCACCAGCATGCGCACGTCGATCTCATCGCTGCCGTGTCGAGATCCATTCTGAAATCATTTCGAACGTTCAGCATGGAACAGACTCGTCGTCGGACGTCTAACTGATCCTCTTAAATTCCCATTCGCTATTCTGGCGTCCCTCGTTCGTTATACCACAGCTTGCACCGATAGCAGGGTGTTTCGCAAAAGAGGGGTGTATCGAGCACGCAAAAATAACAGGAGGGGGGAAAAACGTCGATCCAACCGTTTCACGCGTATTTTTGTCATCGATCGATTTAAGGGTGATTGGAAAATAAAGTAGCTTTGGGAACTATTTTTGTTATTGGTAAATAGCTATGCAATTTTATGAAATTTTTGTCTACCGTACGAAAATAGATGTATGGAAGTGTGTAAGTGGATTTAATTTTGTTCGGTAGAATCTACTCTATATTTTTGAAAATCAGATAGTATCGTTGCATGTTACTGCACCAGATTCGGTTTCAGTGGCATCTGTTATTATATATGGACAGAGTTCTAAAATTTATCTAAGTATGTTGTCCTCTGAACCCAGAAGACCACGAGGGAAACGGTTTCTAGATTGCAACGAAGTTGCACGAATCATGGACCTTTCACTATTTAAATACTCGTCTCTCGAAAACACTCAAACATTGCTCTACGTAAAACAGAAAGAAAACGTAGTTGAACCTATGTTACATCTGAGCACTCAAAGTTTTAAAATCGCAAGGAAATTGACCGAATGTTCATACAGGAGTCTAAGTACGGAATCAAGGCAACGAAGTAAGAAACATGTGAAAAGTCCCACGATCGAATCACTTTTTTTCCCGTGTGATCCTCTTCTGGTAGCAACACTCACCTCCTCGAGATTAGGTACGACCTCGTTCAACACCTGAAGAACGGTGGTCAGATCCGAGCTGATGGTAAGCACCCTAGAATCAGAAAGACTCCAACAATTACTCAGGTTCTCGATGGCTGTGCGATTACGTGCTACAGGTTGCCCTTCATTTTTCTCTCGCAAAATTGCTCCACGGAGCCCTCTCCTTCGTGGAAAATTAACCACCAACAGGCGGAAATTGCGTTTGCCTGACTGTAGCATAACCTGACGCGAGTTAAGGACGAAGGAACCTCGATCGAAAGAGTTTTTCCACTCAATTTGCTCAACTTGAGATCCCAGACGATATTTAGAGTCACTTAGGTTTGCCGTTCAATTTACTTTATTCTTTATTCTTCGATTAATGTCTGTGAACTATTTCAAATTGAGATTGATTTAATTTTTTAATTAACTTACTAGATATTCAATTCACAAATTTGAGGGCTTTTACTCTTTGAATAAGAAAAAAATACAGATTCGATGCCTTTTAATCCCTCATCTGCGTGCAAAGTTTGATTAAAACCGGAGATCGTCCATACTTCTGAGAAGCTATTCCTAAAGTACCAGATTATAAATTATCAATTTTAACAAAAGAGAAGAGAGAACGATAAAACTAGCTTCTGCGCCAAGTTTCGAACAAACTGTACTGTTTACAGAAATTCTTTTCAACCTCAAACTTATTAAAGTATCGCAACTAGGCCACAATTTCGTGATTAATTTCCCTTCATCTTTCGCTCTTTCCAGGAATTTCGTCATTTCGACCTCGCTACTCGCGCCAGTTTCATTTACAAATGATCAGCAGCGTCTCGCCTCCAGTCCGAGATGAGCAAAACTTTATTCGTACAAGAAATGACAATCGAAATTAACGCGCAACAGTACCTCGCAATTTTCCCAAAGCTTAACGGGTCGGATAATTTTTCGTCAGCGTCCAGTAATCTACAATCTCACGATTAAAGTTCAACGAGTTACGGGTGAAAAGATTTATCTTCTATCCCGCATTAGAAATTCTTTACGTGGATAAAAATTATGCCCATCTCCGGCTCTAACTCTCCACGAGAAGTGTTCTTCCCCGAATGAAATGTGGACAGAGCCACGGCAGAAAATATCACCCCCGTGAGCCACCGGGAAACTTCCCTGGGTCCGTTCGAAGATAAACAGGGAAGTTTTCAGTTCTTGGGACACAAATCAACTAGAAGGCGACTCTCCGTCTGTTCTTTCTTTATTTTCTGCTCGTTCTTCTCGCTGGCCTGCGCCGTAACTGCGGGGAAACGTCTAGTTTCGTCTTTTCACTCGCAGCTTGTTGCTGCTGACGTAACGTTACGTCCTACACACAGTTCGTTGCTCGTTACTTTCGGTTGCCCGTTCAATTCTTCGTAAGACGTTAATAAATTCGTAATATTACTTTTCAAATTTCCAACGGCTCTGACAAGAAATTGCAAGACCACCTGATTAAGTTCCAATATATTCCCCTATTTAAAATGATAGAAAGCTTTTTCTTAAATTAAACAAATTACGGTAAATCGCGAGGATTTCATACGAAACCCCAATTTCGCGATTCGAGCAAAGAATAGGCTTTCCCCGCAGCTTTCGTAGAGCGAGCCACTCGATCGAACGTTGGAACTCGAACGATATTCGAGGAGAGACGAGAGGCTGCCTGGAACTCGTTCTTATCAGGCTTTGTTTTCCCGGTAATTATTTGTTTCCCTCGAAGGAGAGAATAAGCGAGAGGATCATGGGGCGGGGGGGAGGATTACTCGTAGCAACTTGGAATTTCAATTCGACACATCACGGTGATCTCTGTTACTACTGATCACGAGAGTGCTCGAAGGAAACCGGAAACTGCGTATCGATCACGGGGCCGACCCCCTTCACCATCGTTTGCTTGGAGAAGTCGGCATTAGCAGGGTAGCCAATAAATTCACCGACGATTAATCAACTTCAGGATGTCGTCGGTGTATTGAGCGGGTAATTTTCAAGCTACTAGAAGTCAATTCACGGCTATGATATACTGTAATATACAGCCACTTTGGATACTTTCGATTCGGAGGTTGGAATATAAAAATTAGCGTGGAAACGTAGCAACTTATTCTCATTTAATTCGTGTTAGAAAAAGTAGCAAACTATCAAGCAAACTATCGCTGATGCGAAGGCGTAACGACGTGAAAAAAGCAGGTCGTTGCAAGTTTCAAACCGCGAAAAATCGTCCGAGGAACTCGTTAGCCACCCTGATTGAAGAAGGAATCCTCCAAACACGCAACGTTCCAATCGAGCACTGTTAATTTCCGCCACGTGATCTCTTCCATCGCCATCCCTCTCCAACGCATTCTTATCGATTCTCCTCACCAGAATCGACCGCTTGGAAATCGATTCACACGCCGAACCAGCGAAACGAACGTGAAAATCGCCGAATCGCGGTTTTGGGGACACTTAAAAAAAAGTCCATCGCGTGGTTATTGTTAATGTGAACCCTCGACTGGCAGGACGAGCGTCGAAATCGCCCAAGAGTATTTTTCCAAAGCTTCGCAGTCAACCGACGACAACGGTCATCTACCAGAGATGGGCAAAATACTCGAGTAACGACGAAAGAAAATTTGGCACGTTATTTAATCCGAAGGCTTAGATTGTAATCACTAGACTGTGGACTTTATAAACATATGCTAAAGGTAGCAAGAATATATGCACTTACACAAAATAGAATGGTAACGTTATACGAATTTAAATAAGAGGAATTGTTGGTCACAAGTGGTCTTTAAAAACGAAAGCTATGAATTTTCTTAGGGGTGGTTTCTGATCCACGTCGATGAGAAAGGATGAACCTTCCTAAAAATATTCACCAATCTATGAAATGTGTCTTACACTTTATAAATATTTTCCCTTAAATACATTATAAAGTCCGTAGTCTATTAATTCTTCTCGAACAAACAACGGCTCAACAAGCAATTTATTATCGCGTTCAGAGATTTGCCCATCTCTGTCGTCTACCAGAGACCTAGCATGCTCCATCGGTCTGTCGTGCGCTCTGGGCGAACGTTAAGCTGAACTGCCAAGAACAATAAGTCGAATTTTATTGTCTGCAGGCGATCTCTTGCATCGATTTCGCAGTGTACGGTTTCGTAACGAGTTAATCTGGCGTTAACACGAGGACGGTCACGTGTCCGTTTAGACGATGCGTACGTATCCACCTGTTTCGTTGACGTCAGATTGCAAACAGCTATTGGAAAAACATCCAACCTCTACCAACCGAGGGTTTAATCACGCGTTACACCTTCCTAACGATCATTGGGACTGTCCAATGATTCACGCCGCGAAGGGAACAGTTTGTTAGTCGACGACTAGTAAACCGTGAAAGCGGCCATCACCCAACTACTCCTCGTTATTTTGCCCAGGTTTTTTTTAGCAGTCACACAAGCTGAAAACGAAACGGATAGTCGTGTGTTTGTGTATATAATGTGTGCGTGGGTGAGTGTGTGTGTTTGCTGGACGGACGGTCGAAAGTCATCGCCTCGGGAACGAAGTCGACCTAGTCATTTTAGGTTTTTCATGGACTCTGGAGGAAGAATTGCGCAGATACTCGTTTGGTATGCGATTCCAGTTTGAGGTAAAAATGTAGTCTCGTAGGACACGTCAAATTTTAGGTCACTTTCAGATGGCATCGACTTCAGATTTTTTTGGGGACTCTTTAGTAAAGCTGTGGGAGAGATTAATCTATAAAAAAAATGAAATAAGGGAATTATGTAAAATTAAGGAAGCAAGAGAGAAGAAAGAAAAATTGTTTATCGAGGTGTGAACAAATCGAAGAGAACTACAATCTGGGAGTTCGAAGTAAGTTCAATTTAAATAAAACTTACTGTCCCGAAATAATGAAAATAATATAATGTAAATAAATGACTACATTTTGGCTTCATACTGAACCTTCGAGAGAAAAGCAGCGGGGAAACAATGAAGTTTCTTCTTGGAAAAAGTTTGGGCGCGGATGTTCGACCTGGAAAGGATCAGAGGCCCCAAGCAGACGTTCTCGAGTCTCTGGTGTCGTCGATCGTTACTTGAAATGGAAAATTATATTAACCCAGTTACGACTGATATCTTTCCGGACGGATTTAGAACTTCTATTAAATAAAATTTGCTTAATACAGCGGATTATCCGATAACGTCATTCCAAGTATTTCACACTTATTTATAGACACTTCAATGACAAGATTATTATTCAATTCTGTGATGATTTATAAAACTGTATAATTTCCACTTCCAAAAGAAGACTCTGTTCTGCTTTTAGGAATCGCGATACAAATATTTTTTTTTTAAATTTCTGTCCTATCTGGGTGAATATATCTCCAGTTGGTGGCCTAACAGGAAGTATCGACGGGTGCTGGGGTGATAAGAAACCCCGTTTCTTTCTCTTGGGCCTGTTTAGTCTGCAATGAACGTGAACAGGTGTAGACAGTCGCCAGTTAGAGACGATGGGTCTGATTAGATCTTGGATCTAATTTTTGTTCGAAGCGGGAAACCTTTGGAGACTGGTGGAAATTAGTTTCGTTTGAGTCGAGAGCGAGTTCCATAGCATTTATCGTTCAAAATAAAGACATTGATACGCAAATGTTGGCGAAGTTGTTAATTTCCGAGTTGGTAATTGCCGAATTACCCTACAAAAACTAATTTAACGACAGCCACCATTTACCTTCACGAAGACTGGATTATACTAAGATTAGGGTGACTGTTACACTAAAGGAGAAGTCACGTACGCGACAGGGAGGTTACAGCGAAAACTTTCCCGATTAAATTCTCGAAACGTCCGTTCGGCCGCGAATAGGAATCGCATTAAGGGCATCTCCGAGGACTTTTATAGTTGGCGATAAAAAAATTTACGACCAGGGCACGTGACGTCCCAGAACGAAGATAAATTTCTTGTTAGCGTCCGAGTGCGCGTGTGTCACGCGCTCCCGAATGGGATAAGGGTCTCCAATTGCCCATGAGATACCCTAATTGCTCGAGTTTTCAGCGAAAATGAAGCCTCTGACGACGAATTTGCTGGCACGCTTACGGAACGAATATTATTGGGAACGAAGCCATTTAGTGAATCGTAAACGACTCCTTTAAAAGTGTTCGATTTTCCTGTAATAAAAAAAAAAAAAATCATATAAACTTGTGTGCAACTTAGTTGTCTCGATCAAACATATTTCCACCATTCTCGTGAGTTCTCCCGGACATTAAATTAACTCTTTCGATATTTCGTGAGGCTTCCGCGTGCGGAGAACACGCGTGGACATGTGCACAGTATCGAAAGGATGGGAAATCGATCTCCTACGTTCGCCACGTTCATCATCCACGAATAGAAGACCGCGAACAGAGAGTAGCGTGCACTTGCGCCCTTTCATTGCTGGAGGAACGAGTATCTGGTAATTGAGAGGTGTGGAACCACTCGAATTAAACGAATATATTCCATTAACACTCTATAGAACATAGAGTGAAAGACATGATCTACTGTAATAAATTGTAAGAAATTAATTGTCATGAACAGATCCCATATTGACACTATTGTTTCAACCCCTTACGATTGAAATTATTATTAGCCTCTGAGGGAATTCGGTAATAGACCACTGGTATGAATTAATGAAAAGCTTTTGAATTTATTCACCCTTACATGAAAAATTGTAACTAGTAGCTGTTGTAAATAGATTGCTCGGTGGTCAAAGCATGGACTCAGACTTTGAAAATATAGAACAGTTTGAAAATATATCAAAGAACTAATAATTTCTCCCCGCTATAGGGAATCCATCAATTTCCTCCCTCGAGAGAGTCCAAGCTAATATTATCAATGACAAATCGAACGGTATCAGTCCACGTCTGAGGCATCTGCGGACAGCTGAGCTTTCAGCAACGGGCCAAACACACGCACACACACCCAGGCCCTCAAACTTCTCCAGCGTCTTCAGCAATGAAAGGGGTCAAAGGAAACCGCGTACACGCGTGCACAAAACAGGCCATTAATGACTTTCGACTTGCGGACAGTTCGTTAATCACGTCGACAGGTCTCTGACGGTCGGCGATGCCTCGACATGTCGGGCGTACCTAGAAAGTAAGCGTGATAATATTCGACGTTAAGCGTGGAATCGGCTTTAGACCGCCTCGTTCCACGGATTAGCATCCGTGTGTTAGCCACAACAAAATTAGAGATAGAGAGAAAGAGAGACACATACGGTGTACAATATCCCCGACATAAAACGTGAGTGTGGTACTTTCTGCGAGTGAGTGTGGTGTCGGGCGTGTCGTCCGCGCGCGCGACGATCCGAGGTGAAACGTAAAAACAGAGACAGAGAGACAGAAAAAAGAAACATTGTTTGCTCGACAGAAACATAGAAAACTGAGCGGGAGACCACCGTGCCAGAGATAGGAAACGCTGGTTAGATATTTCGAACGTTCACTGTACTCGTTGCATAAAAATTAAAGAATTTAATGCTCCGCGATACGGAGAAATGGTGTTTTTCTTTATTTTCAATGTAGCGAAATTTCAAGAATTCATACCAGAGTGTTATTTGAGTAGAGTTTTGCCCATCTCTGACATCCGGCGAGTTGGCAAAGTTTAGGAGCCTGCTTTTCCTGGTTCTTAGAGGAAATAGGGGATGAAGAGTTGAGGAAGAAGATTTTTGGGAAAAAGAGGAGGGGAATCAACGTGTCCTCGTACCACCTAGATGAATGAAGAGAACTATTCGAGGAGATACTGATGACTCCTGAGGAATAATTACGTCCTAGAGAGCCTTGGTCCCATCGAAAGATCCCTCCATTTTCTACAAGAAAGCCAACTAAGAAATTTATATGCATAAACTACCCTAACAAATTTTCCGAAAATTCTACAAATTTCTTCCCATAGATAATTAACCATGTAACAGAAAAACAAGCATTTGTTTCACTTCTTTCATATCTATGAGAATATCTATGGTCTTGACACACCTAAACGAGGAAAGCATTTTTCCTTGCTCTGTTTTCTCCAGGTTTGAAAAGTAACAGAAACCACGGTCGACTTTCTTTGTCTCTGGCCGCAGGAAGTCCGAGAAGTGTCGGGAGCTCCTTCGAGCTGCAATTAGAAATTGGACAAGAAGACCCCGCTAGTTTTGCCAACTGAGAAAAGTTTCGAGGAGCGGTTCTTCGCGTAGCACTCAACAAGAGCCAAGAAGTGGCGTTAGGTTCGCCTGACGCTATCGGATGAGCTCGCGAGCAGGCTTTTTTCTTGGGGAAAAAAAAAATAAAGTAGAGAAGTCGTTGAAGCTGAATTCCCTGGAAAAGCTGATTCGATTTGTCTGATAAATTAGAAGAAGGATTTCTGAGTTTGAAGCGTAATACCGAGACGCACTGTGAAAGAAAGAGTTGAGGTTCAGAAACGCTCAGTTATTTTCTAGGACACTCTAATAGCATTAACGAGGATTCATCCACTGATTCATTCAAAGATACACTTCCCAAGCATCCAGCTATACTCTTCCACTCGTCGAGATCCCTTCACCGAGGACTTCCTGTTCGAATTCAACCAAGACCAATCTCCAGCAGAGTCCCGTCAGTCATAATCACTCTTCACGGAGACCCCCTGGGACCAAGCATTCTTCTTCGATGCTGTGAAACGCTTGCTTGGCTCAATCCGCGAGCAATCTCCTCGCGGGGATTCCTGAAAGGACAGTGGAAGAGGCTACCAGCGCGGACAAAGAAACAAGCGCGAGGAAGAGCTCTGTGGATCTCCTGATCTGTCCACTTTGCAGCAACAGTGAAAGCACTCGATCTCATGGAAGGCGCAGACGGAGACGCGAAACACGTGATTCAGGGCACAGGAACGAGAGGACAGTCTTGATCTTCGTGGCCATGAGGGAACAGAGCCTCGGAGAACAGCGAGAGGACGTGCAACCATATGGCAGGTGTAGTCACGGACACCAACAATGGGAGCGAGTGTTTCTATGCCCAACCCTTTCGCTGCGGACGTACGTGCACAGAGGAGGCTCCGAGGTCAACACTGCTGAGCTGGGAAACTATTTGCGAAGGATTTGCTATCTTCCATAGGTATACACGCATCTATTTCAATTTTATTTTTGACGATTACTCGATTAGTAATTACTAACTAAGTAAGTAACTGGTTTCATATTTATGTATGATTCCAGGAGGAATACGCTGAATGTTCGATAAGTGTCACGCAGGACGGTGTTGCGACACACTTATTGATTGAAGGTAGCGAAATTGAATCGTTCTTCCGTCTCCTCTGGGTGAGACGTTAACGAACAATGCTTTGTACGCTTAATCTTCCAAAGAAGTACCCATATAAGCAACGATGAACTTCATCGACAGGAGCTTAGTAATCGTAATAGTGCATGAAACTATTAATTAAGCATGTATAAGCACGTTCCTTTGAACAATTAGCAACGAGCGCAAGTAAATTCGACTGCCGAAGGACGTGTTCCTTTACCCACGGTTCGTGACTTGATCAATTAGCGAAAGGGTTAAGATCATTCCGGTTGTGAATCATCGCGCAACCACGCCAAAGACTACGCTCGAGGACACGTTCAGGGTTGAGAGTGGTTAGCGGGAGAGACTGAACGTACAGACACAGGCGATTAAGGCGAGACATAGACAGAGAAAGGTAAGAAGAAAGTGAACGTGAAAGACAGAGATATAGAGCAAAACAGACTGTAGTACAAAGTATATAAAGAGAAAGAAACAGACAGATAAAAGATACAGAGAGAGAGAGAGAGAGAGAGAGAGAGAGAGAAACCGTCGCTGTCGTTTTTTTTTTCTTGGTTTAAAAAAAAAAGTAATAATAAAAGAAGAAAAAAAACAGCACAGCGACCACGTAAAATATCGCCGCCTTAGGTATTCTTGTAATTAGAGACAAAGAAAAATAAGACATTAAGTAGTGGTGTTGGTCATTACCGTTCGGGTCCGGGGCAATCGGGTACAATGATTGAGGCTTTGTACTGTCGGGCCGTGGTGGTTGGTGGTTGGTTCATTGGTGGTTGGTTGGTGGTTGTTGTCGATTGTTGGTAGGGTGGTCCATTTGCCGATCGAGTCAGGGTCCGTCGTTCCGGGCAGGGCAACGGCAGGGCAACACCAGGGGGGCAACGCCGGGGTTGGGGCGGGGCCAGGGCACAAACCATCAACCAAGTTAGACATCGCGTCTCTCACGGCTGGATTAATTCGCGGCTTAATCGTGTAACCCCTTCTCCACCCTCTTTTTCCGCTATCCACGGACACCGTCGAAGGCCATCCCACCCACCCCTAGCGTCATCCGTGCCCTTTTTCTCATTCCATCGCGCGAACGATTGGAGAAATGTTTGCAACGCGACCCAAGACACTCGAAGGGCTTTTGCTGTCATTAAATGAACGCGACACATTGAGGATTGAAAACTCGACCATTTTCGCGGGAATCTGAGACAGCAGATGCTGGCTTAGGTCTGGGTTACATTAACTGTTTCAGACCTGAATTATTATTTTTTTCTCGTACATTAAATTTAGAATTACTATGAAAAAAAGAAAATCCTAATAGTTTAAGAGGAAAACTGGTCTCTTTCTTCGTGTGCACAAGAAACGACAGGGTCGGTAACTTTGTAAATTTGTGTCCTCAATCGTGGACGCCAGGTCTGAAATGGTTGACACCAAACCTACCACAACTGGTTGTTAAAGTTCTTGTATACAATATGTAAATTATATGCAAATATTTCATGCATTATACAATTTGATACCGTGCGAAATACTTTTGAAGCAGGTTTTTAAGACCAGTCATTTGTCCAAGATAGAAATAGGTGCAAATGAACCGCGGGTAGGTTTAGTGTTAAACGAAACGCCCAGAATCAAACGAATCTGAGAATCTGTTTATCCTTGCAGCGGGATCAATTCAACAAACATCCTCTCGCTACCCAGTCGAACGTTCAATCCTGCAACCCTGTTTATCAACGCGCAAAGTTGATCTTTCGGCGAACAAGCAAGTTCGAGCCAGGTGCGTCGTTTCGCAAACAATTTCTCCGACCTCGCGAGTTTCCCGACGGGCGTTTTCAGCGTCCAAAAAATCGCCTAACGACGGTTCGGCCATGAGATTCCCCAAAGCGGCGCACGATTCCCCGTTCATTTAACGACGGACTCGCTGCAGGGAGCACGCTGCAAAGGGGACACAAGCGGACGAGTAAAAAAAAAACAAAGTGTCCCTCGGGAGAAATTCCATTTTCCCTAGAGGCTTTCTCTATCTCTCGGGTACCTGGCCTTCCACCTTGGGGTCACGCAGGTGCGTTACCTACGAATCTCAGCAGCGAAAGTCTCAGGCAAACGAATGGCCGCTCGCCTGATTATTTACGACCGTGGACAAGATCGAGGGAGGATGACTGCGGGTCTGCGTTCGGTTAATTTCACGTCTACGACGCTCCGACTACGTGACAGCCAAGCTAGGCAAGATCGCGACGATATTTATGGCCCTCCTTCGCCCATATGGCTCGCGAGCAATTGTACTATTTGCAGAAAGTGCGGCTCGGCCGTAAATCGTGTTATTTTCGATCCTTTTGATCGCGCGATGAACAATCCTTTAAGGTTGGTACGCGGGGTCTGTCTCTGGGAAATAAAAGTGACGAAACAGTGACAGAGCAGGTAGGCACCATTTGGTAATAGAAAAAATTGCACAGAACGAGCTACTGTATTAGTTTTCTTGGACGATATTATAACAAAAAATTTAACAAAATTTAACACGTACATACTTGGAATCTAAAATATGCTAAATTATACTTTGTATATCCAATATTCTTAAATAATCACACGACTAAATACAAGTATGCAGTAATTCCTTCTCACATAGTGTCTCCCATTACCATACAATGCCAGCACACTCTGCCAAGTTTGCCACGGAACGTGTACGTCTCGTGAATTTCAAAGAGAAAATCCACCAACGGCGTGCTACTTGCTCGAAATAAAATCGAATTCTTGGACAAAAAATTCACCGAACGCAGCCCCGAAGACTTCCATCCGCTCTATGTTGTCGCAGAGTCTCGCGAATGCTCGCCAGTGTTTGATCGTGTGAAACTTGCGTGGTGTCCGCGGCCAAAACGAACAGTAAATATAAAAATAAATAAAAAAAGCAAAAAAAAAAGTACGTGAGACTGTGTGTACGACGAAGGCGTGTAATGATCGATAGATCCTGCATGGGTCGCTGGAAGACGCAGGTTAAATCGTTCGCAGCGTTGGTGCTTCGACGATCGAATCGAAACATGAGCTTAAGCCGGAGCAAGTGGTTTCGATAGAGCTTAAGCTCACGTTTGGTGCTCGTTTAGACGCTAGAATCGACGGCAACCTGCCTGAAAACCGCGCTGAGGCAATGAAATCGTGATCGACATCGCTGTTTGCTCGCGACTAACGCTTACGGATCCTCTAGCGTGCATCTGATAATGCGTGCGTCAGTGAAAATCGTCACTGTGCGCACTCGTGGACGGCAGGGCCCCTTGTTTCACGCGACACGGCTACCTGGATGCGTCGTTTAGGGGATGGTGCATTTTTGTTCAGGCGTGCTCAAGGTAGTTTGTTTTGATACGAACAGTTGTTTCAATTTGTGGTCAGGCACTGTTGGTATGTTTGTGGGTTTATTATTTAGAAGGAATTTAATTTGCTGCAAGAAGAAAGGGTTAGAAAGTTGGTAAAATTGAGATGGATTTTTCGAGGTGGAAGGTCCTAGAAAGTACTTTCTTAGGCGCAACTGATCTTTAGTAGACAAACTCTGAGTTAAACTATACAAAAATTGAAGATCGAAAAATAATTAAGACCTAATGCCTGTCAAAACAAATGCTCAACACATTAAAACACCCAGTGCACGTTAAAATACGCTCCACCTTAAACACACCTGTAACTACTCGAGTAAAGGAGTCTAGTAGGACGCTGCACGAACACAGGCTGTGTCATCGATTGCGAACGTGACGGAACGCGCGTATCCTTCTGTCAACGTTAAAAAGCACGCCAGTCTTAATTTTCACGCGTGCGCGTGAAACAGGGGGCTGTGCTCGCGACCGTGTAGAAGCTCGCGAATCGAGGCTGGCTTCCTCGTACAACGCGCGGAGCAAGCGTTACACGCCTGGCAGGCCTACTTTTCTGACGTTCTCTCGATCATTTGGTTCGTGCGGGGTGAGTCTCGTCGGCGTCTCAAGGACGATGAGCAAATAAACGAACAAAAAAATCGCCGTGGAAAACAATCGACGTTGCGCAACGGAATCGGGCCGAGATTATGCGAGCGTAAAGCCTGTTACACGCTTACGAGAATCGAACGCGTGCGACAGTTCGAGTTACTCCGGGTGACCTTTGACTCCTAGATGGGAAGTCTCTTAATTGTATGTGATTGAATGAAACTATAGAAGTTTGACATCACTGATTTGTTGAGTAACCGCTTGAGTTATTGCTAGGGTAAAAATTGTTCTATTTGTAAACATTGTAAGATGGTTGAAAAGTCAGGATAGGGTGAACCACGTGGCTTTCATGACACCTTCGCAATTATTTTTCACGTCGAATCGAAGTAAAAGGCGTTCGATCAACGTAAAGCAGTACAGGCCTTACCCGTCGTCACTCGAGCCGCATCTTTAATCAACCGTTCAGGGTCACATGCAGCTCCACGCCCATGTGCTTCCTTGAATCGTGATCCTTTCTGATGCAGATTACGCACGCGTCATCTGTCCCATTCCATGGTGATTGAATAACAAATTAGAAAAGAATAATGGGGAAACTTCCCAGCTCAAGAACCAAATGCGCGATGACGGTATTTCTGCACGCGCGTGGAACACTTCTGGCGTCGACCAAGCAGCATAGTCGAACAACTTTCAAGGAATTTAGAGTTCTCTAACCGGTCCATTCATTTAACATTCTATCCAAGGGAAAATGTAGAAGAATGAGATGCATGTATCATCGATCGCAGTCCCACGCGCGTTTCAGAAACACTGGCACCAGAACTTCCCTAAAATTCCAGCTAGTGGACGTACCAGATCGGAACTGTTCGCCTCTAGAATTCGCACGAGGTTAGTTTCGAGAAGTAAGAAGCTCGTGAAAGTGAATCTTCGTTAACAATGATCGGTGATAATCTTCTACGCTCGTTAACATTCATTCTCACGACCTTCTTCTGGCCTAACGGTCGAAAACGCGCTCGTCCTCTTCCCTCGTGTCCCGTATTTGCCATCGACTGGGCAACACGGGACCAAACCGCGAGAGAACGAGGCTGGTAAGTATACTAAACGACGAACGGAAGGTGCAACTGCTTACCTGACTTCTGAGTTTGGTGATATTCTGGCCACCCTTGCCGATTATCGAACCGGCCACCTGCAACAAAAAGGTTTACTTTTAACCGACTTCGAAAAGGAGGAGGTTACTCAATTCGACATGCAATTTTTTTTTTTTTTTTTAAGCGTAAACATTCCTGTTTTCGCATTGATATTTGTGTGGTCTTCGACGAACAGTTAAAAAAGAAACAGAGAGACGTATTCCTTTTCATTAGATACGCAAACCTTCGCTCGATTGGATGAACATTGAAGCGTCGTGCGCGCGAGGCTCGCGAGAGGTACTTTATGTTAATTGCGCGAGGTGTACATACGCGTGTTTTTATTTTGTAAAACCTTTGCTCAAGGATGCACACAGTTTTCTGCGGTGAAAGTCGACGGCGATATCCGTGGTTCAAAGGCGAAGCGATTTTACGACTCGGGCAACATACTAGTGATCACCGCCATTGGAATCCAAAGTCTCGGCTAACGAAGAGCTTCGAAGGAAATCGAAGCTTCGAAGAAATAAACGATGGTTTAAAAATGCTATTGATTTCAAGAAAAGTACAGCGAATGGAAGCGGAGAAAAATTGCGGATTTTAATAAATAAATTGATCAACGTCAACGCTTAATGGGAACGATTCAACGATTCAATTTAGAAATGCCAAGAGAATCCAAGATGACCCGCGTCATTAATCACGTTACGTCGCTTTAATCTTGAGCTTTCGTGCAGTTGAAACAACTTCAAACTTAAGTGCAATAAAAATGCAATTCTCGGATACTTCCGCGAATCGAAATTGCTTACCGAGATTGTTCGAGAAAAATCTACTGTGTATAACTCGGAACATTTTTCATTTCCCCTCTTTTCTTTGTTTTCATCTTCTATCGAAAAAAAAGAACCAGGCTTCTCGCGCAGGAAAAAAAAAATTAATAATAAAAGGAACGAGGGAGAAGGCATATTGCGAAACTTAACTTCAAGTCGACCTCGACACGCAGCACATCGCGGAGATTAATCGCGACGCACGTTTCGCTTCGATTCCTTCTTTTTCGTTTCTCCCAAAAGGGGATCGATTTTCTCGAGGAATCGTGGGCGGAGAATCTCGGTCCAGACACAACTCGGAAGGTCGATCGGCTCTCGAAACCGCGCAACGCCAACGTTTCAGCGATTAGGCGTCGATAAGGTGCGCGAGCTGTTGCAACGCGATAATTGCAACGTCTAAAAAAGGTGTTCATAATCTGCGAGGCGTTCTTTATAATTATACAGAATACCGCGATGAATTAATGAGGTACGCTCGAGTTAATAAATCAGCTTTTATGCGATATACTTTGTTAAAGACAAATTCATTAAAATAAAGGAACGTACATTGCACAATGTACATTCACCGTGATCGATCAAAACGAGTTTACTCTCGAAAGGAACGATCCCCTGATCGATTTCCAGCTCGATCGACCCTGACACCGACCGCCATTTTCCCTTTGATCCTGACTAAACGGTTAAAACGATCAACGGCGATCGGCATTGTACGGAATCAACGCTGCGCGACCGCATCGATCGCGATCAAGATCTACGAAAACGAAATCGAGCCCAATGAAGAATCGAACGACGATCGACGCCGTGGAAAAAATGTTGCCTCGTTTTAAAAGTTTCAACAGAGAGCGTTGTGTACTCGTTCATGCTCTGCTCTTTTGTTTGGACTTTTTTGTTCGGCCTTTATGAAGCCACGATGATCGTGCATGGCTGGGAAACGATGATCAATCCAGATACGCGATCAAGTGGAGAATTTTTATTGCACGACCCTGGCTATTGTGTATCGTCGGGGCATGTGTACTTTTGATTTCTGATACGGCTACTTTTGTTTCCGTCGAGAGCAGAGTTTGACGAGTGACTCTTTCGTTTCGCGTATTCGCGTTTCAGAGATGATGCGAGATAAACGAGGGGAATCGCCCGACCTGGAGAACATTTGAGCCGTTCGCCGCACAAATCGATTAACTCCACTTTTTGAAAAATCTCAAAATTTCAGTGTCGAAGCACTTGGTATAATAACTTTCTCGAATAATAGAGATTGACACACGTTTCATCGCATTTCTCAACTGTTTGTTTTACGGAGCTTTGGTAATTGTACAAAAGTTCATGGAAAGCTATGAATTACGTATCTTAACTTATTCCCAGAGGATACTCCAGGTTGTTTGCTGGTAGGGCACCCTCAAAGCAAACGATAGTTTTGAGCAAAGTAAACACCACAGGCTGCGTCTACTTCGGAGAATCTCCCTGTCGAAAGTCGAACAAATTCTGATAACAGTTGATGGCGACAATGACAGGAAGAGAAGGTGCCAGGTGGAACATGGAAGTGTGGGAAACCCACAGAGACACGCAGATTGTTTCCGGGCCTTATCTGGCGAGGAAAAGTGGCTGAGAAGGCTGTTTCGCGATGTTGTTTGGATGTTAATAAGGGAGAAACTGTTTCAGAAACGAAAGTTCGTGGGTGAATTGAATCTCAAATGATGAAAGAGATGTTTTGCAGATGCAAAAGTAAGGCACAATTGGAGATAGAGAATCATACCAAGTCCTGATGTTGTTTTACTACTAATGCTTCGATACCATTTACGCAAAACACATTAAGAATGCTGCGTTGGCCCTTGATGCGTCCTCGTTTGGAGTATCGTTCATTAGCTTGGTCTCGTCGGCTAAACAACCACAGCTGTCTCATTGAGAAAGCGCAACACAAATTCCTTCGTCTTATTGCTTTCCGTATAGGGGTTGATCTATTCCAGCAACGCGTCGTAATTACGAATTCATGCTGCCTCGTTTAGGTTTAACGACTCTTGAGAAACCAAGAGCGATGGCCGATGCTTGCGCACAAAGCGCTACGTGGTTGAAATCGCAAGCACCAAACTGTTCCAATTTTATTTTATTTACTGTTACTTATTTTTACTGTTCCAGATTCTACTTTCATGTGCATATATTTCGTCTTAATTTACTTCACTGTGTACTTTGGCGTTGATTTTTCGATATATATACCGATAATACACGCGCTGTACATTTTTGCAATTTTATTATTCTATATTCTCAAGGAAGAACCGAGTTGTTCGTTAGATTAAATAATCCATTACTCTAAAATTAAACATTCGACTAATCCTAGAGAGCAGGATTACGTACTTCGTCTCACCAGAAAGACACATTTTTCGTCGTAGGTAAGTGCAGAGAACGACCGGGTCGAGACGAAACCTAAAAGTGGGCATTAGCCACCGAAACGAAATTCTTCCGAGAGGTTTCTTTACAAATTCTCAAAGTGGCTAGAAATGGGAAAGTAGTCGGTTTCTCCGAGAAGTTAGAAAGTTTTCTAAGTAGTTTCTCCTCTGCCTGCATGCTAAATAATTTGCATAACACCCAGCGAGATATTGATTTTTCGCGAGGAATTCACTCCGCCGTTCGATCGTTTCTTTATCCTTCACGTGTCGATGAGGATTCTTACCTTGCTGGGTATCAGAAGACGGAGTTCATCGTCACCCTGTCTGTAACGCTTATGAGGACTTGTTGGTCCTCCGGAACCTGTCATCGTGCCTGCATCAGCTTCTCTCTTCATTATTCCTGCAACAGAAAAGGTAATTCAGAGTTAGTCATATTGAACAAAATTTGACGATACTTAGCTTTAATGTTCTATTATTCCCCAAGCAAAAACGATAAATATCCAATGCTCGGATTAAAATAAACAGCAACCCTTTTACCCTCATCTGAACTCGAATTACAAATTATACGAAGCAGTGACGGTCTCAATGCCCTAGATCTCGTGGATAAGACGGACTAAATGGAATTCGTTGAAGCACAGTCGGTTCGAAATGTGACAACAGGAACTCCCACGGCCACGCCATGGGTTGGAGTTCGTTCCTGGCCAAGGGAAACCCACGATTTCCCTCGATTTCCAGCTACGCACGCACCCCGGAAACGACCAACGCGAGCGCCGCTTCGTAATAAACCTATAAACTTGTTTCGCGTTCGTGTAACTGTATGTTTGCGGCGACGGTTTGTAATTCATTGTCCGTTAAATCGACTTGTTCGACTTAACGACTCGGATACTATGAGAAACTGATGGAACGCGACGGAATGCTCGACCTGAATTCACCGAGCGTTCAACGACGGGCTCGTTAAAGAAGCAATGGATTCGTTAATGTTTCGAAGATGAAATTTAAAGTTGAGAACAGAAAATCAATTGTATGGCGTGTAATATAATTTATAACGAAAATTTTACTAAAGAGATTGTACGTTAAAAAATTTGTTCGAGACGATTTTAAAACGTAAATCGTATCAACCACACCCTTCTCGGTTTCAGCATTTCCATTTCACTTGTGTTTCGCTGAGAAATATTGGGTCACGAGGAATCCATTTTGTCACGTCGATGTAAATTTCAGAGCGACGCTGTTTTTCAGCTCTTTGGATCTATGACGTCATAACGTCCCTCTCATAATCTTATCGTGCTCGGTGCCGGCTGGTTCGTCATTCGAAACGCGGACTTTACGACTTCTTTAGTACTCGCTTTATTGCCAAATGAGGTCTTGCGTAAGCTTTTTATTGAGAGCCCCCGGACCGTAGCGATATTAGAATTGAGAGGACGCTCCGCGAACAGAGTCTTAAGCCTGTAAACCAACGCCCTTCGATCCCTCGAAATATTTTTAAAACTTTCAGCTATAAGAATATAAAGATAAGAGCACCTTCGTAACTGTTCACTTCGCGTTCGTACGGCTTGATTTTTCTGATCGAAAAATAAAATTCTAAAGATCCCGTTAGGATCCTCTTAGTATAAGAATTTTGCTCATGTCCTCGGTGTCACGCTCGCGGCGTGTTGGGACGAAAGCAATTCCGCGGCTCTAATTGCGCCATGAATCCTCGAGTCGACCCGCGCGTTTCAAGTATTGCACATCACGCGCGAAAGAAACATCGCCCATCCGACGGAATTGATAGTTGTCCTCTGTTCTAATCGGCTCGCGATAAAAGTATCGAACGCGATCGGGTATCCGCGTCATGGAACGACGTTCAGCCCTGAGATTAGTCTCTGGATTCTCCTAAATGGAGAAGTTCTTGCTCGGCTTTCGGGTCACTCCGATTTTTCTCCAAATTAATCCCTTTCAATCCGTCTTTCTCCGCTTGGACAATTAAGGAAATCGCACCGGTAACAGCGTATCGATACATCAGACAAAATACGCATAAACTCGATTAAAGCATTCGGTATAAAATTAAAAACAAGCGGAATATACTTTACGATTACTTATTAATTTTTAGCGATGCTCCATTCACTGGATAATCGATTCAGCCCCGAGTCAACGAATCACTGTTGAACCGTGATCGAGGATCGATCGATCGGCGCATGGCACGCGCGAAAAATATTCCTGGGCGCATTGCCGCATCGAAAACGACGTACGTGACGACGATCGCTCTTGAGCGACTATAATGTGATAATGCGCGTTCAGCATAGAAATCGGCGGTGCACGGCGAGCATACGAAGCCACGAGTGCAAACAATGAGAACGCTGTGCCTCGACCCAGAACACGACATTGCAGAACGTTAATTGGTACTCGCCACGGGCAGATGATTGCACGTGCGGTAATGAATCGAAGGTGTGGAATAAAAATTGTTTGTAGTGACTCGTTGTTCTCGAGAAATGCTAAGAATACCTTAAATAGAAGCTATGGTTCGTATAACATCGGAAATTGTTTGAAGTACATTTTTTTTATAGTTTTTATATATGTGTTTGAAATTACTCATTTCTTATCCGCTCGGTTTTTATTTGATAAGCGAGATTCTAAATAGATTGCTGCGCGTGGATTTCCTTCGTCGTGGAAGGCACGCTCTGTGCATTGTGACTACTCAGCTGTACAAATACAGGCGATGTCCTCCGATGCTTTATAGTCTTCAGGCGTTCCATAATGAACGTTTCTCGCCACCTGCGAGTTTTCTCAAAAATGATGCGAATAAATTGCTAAATCCCTTCTTTCTCGCGAATGCCACGTACTAACTGGCAACACCGGGGTAGACTTTACCCGGTAACAAACAATACGCCATACATCAGGCCACTTCCAAGAGGGAAAAGATTAATAAAATGAAACGACTAATCATCTCGAACAATGGTCTTCCAAATAAACCGATGAAGTAAAGGCTGATAAAATTATCGACACTTCCAGGTCACGAACAAGAAAATTTGTTTAAAATTTGTTTAAAATTTGTTTCTTTAATTCTGGAAGTTCGGGATACGTTAAATCGCAGATGCATCGTGGCGCTGTCGAGTATAACGTCGGTCCTGATCCCCATCAAATGAATTTCGAGCAGCAATCAGGCTCCAATCGTGGTCAGCCATAAGCAGCGCTCAAAGTGGCTGCGAACGCAAATCAAGCTTCACGTCGAGCATACTAATCTCTCTGCACGCAGTAATCGTATTCCTGCGACGCGCGAGCGAAGACCACGAATGAAATTCGCTTAGGTGACCGCAATGCTTCGTTCGCAAAGTACAAAGTCTGCTTCAAGTAATTTCTTGAATATTGTAAAATGTACTGCTTCGACAAAACCAAGCCACTAAGCAACTCCTAAACTCTGCATCTAAAAATCTTGATTTTGCTTGTTTGATGCAAGCCTAGAGCCCTCGGCTCTCCCAAGTGTATATGCTGCCTTGGCAATTAATGGCGTTACCCTTGTAAGAAAGCAATTTATTGGCGCCAAGATTGATGGTTTCTGGTATCGAGGACATTGATCGGCATTTGTTTCGTAGCCGCGGTTCCGATGCAACGATTTTCCGATGGACAACGACGCTTGGAAATTGAAACGACGAAGAGGCGTCCGAAAAAAGAAACGCGGCGACTGGACGAATCGATACGCGAGACTGGTCGGACACGCGACGCTAATAATTTACCACGGCGATTCGCTGGACGAGGGGCAAGCCCCCTTCTACCCCCTGTGCGATTCGTCGTTTCGATTTCATTGCGGTCACGGGAAGACCAGCGAGAAAAACGCCGCAAGAAAAACGCCCTGGCGGGAAGCCGCGTTCGTTCGCGGCTCGTTAAAGAATCACGAGTCACGGAAACCACGGAACCAAGTGTCTACAGTCGAGGCAAAATCAATTGGCCGCACAAGGTCATCCCCACAATCAGGAGTCAAAGTAAATAGAGTAATAAGTAGGATAATAGTTTAGAGAAATTATTGACAAAATCGATTGGTTACCAAAGGCCACCCTTGCAGCTGCCAATAACATCAGAAGTAACCAAGTAATAAGTTGAATAGTAATTTAGAGAAATTATTGCAACTGAATCCTTACTGTTAATCACTCTCACATTTTCACACCTTGCATCGGTTGGAAATGAAGCTCCTATCAGTAGGTTTACGTAAAGAAACGGGAAATGGAATACCAAGGGAACCAAGTAGTAGCGGCGGAGGGGAGTGCTGAGTGGCCTTGAGATGCCAATTAATTTTATCTCCGGTCGCGAGCGACTAACGACAGACTCGTTAAAGAAGTCCGCGAAGTCGTCGTAAATTCGTGGTTGGGAATATTCTACGAACGGTTCCGCAAAGACGTAACTTTCCCAATTGAAATTGGACCCGACCAGGTATGCTTTTAATGACAGTATTGATTTCGTACTCGAAGAAATGACTCGTTACTTTTGTTTTATTCCGAAGAAAGAAAGGAAACTGAATTTCTCGTGCAATTTAGAACGGTAAACGGTTTCCTCGTTGTTACAATCGCAAGTTTATTTATTAATACTTTGTGTAATTACTTTATCCCCTCGTACTCGAGCCTATCTTCTCACTTGTGATAATTAGACCGCGGCTTTATGCGTACGTGACATATGCTAATGCGAACAACACAATTTACATGTACGAATAATACATCAATCATCATAATAATATTACTTTAGTTCGCACAAACGCACGTGTACTGAATATATTTTGGAAAATTTGTCCGTGGCTTGATCGTAAATAATAATTCTTCGTTTTCGATTGTTGCTGGGACAAAGAATTGAATGTTGGTTCAAGAGAGGTGAAAAAGAAAACCATGGAAAAATTCTCGACGAAGCTGCCGCGCGCTCTAATACTTTTTCGAAGCACAATCCCATTTCGTTTATTTTCTTCGCTGTTTGAGAAACGATGAATATTAATATAGTCGGCTCTTTCGCGGTGAATTCGTTCTCTTTGACAACGTTGTTTATCCGCTGCACGCTCACGTTCCCTCGATTATCGACTTTTCGTTAAAAACGCGAAAAGCAATTTCCCAGGCAAGAACGTTGTCGAACAAGGAGAAACTTTTTCGTCCTGGCGATATTTCCACGCGATAACTCGATGAATTCTTGCCTTGCGATCGATCGAACGACCCACCCTTTCGGAGCAGTGACTCCAAACCCCTCGTATAAACAACCGATCATAGAGAATCATGTAGCTTCTGTTGTAAACAGGGAGGTCAATCTACGAACACAATTTTTTTTTTTTTTTAAAGATGGGAATAATTTAGAAGTTTACAGGACTTCAGCGGGATACACTAGGTACTTTATCATACTCGTATTATTTTTGCAACGAAAGAGCCTTTATACAACTTCGGCGAGAAGAGTAATGAA